AGGAGTGGAAATAACAGAATTCCTAGACTGAGAAGGCAATCTACCAGCTCTTTTGGGGGGGGGTAGCAAAAACAATGAGGAATGGTTGCTGTTTTCACCAGAGCCAGTTCCAAGGTGGGGCACACCTCACCAGCAAATCGCCTTCCATTGAGCCCCTTCCTACATCATTGAACGCTCTCCTTTGTGGTGGCCCTCAGTGGACTCGCCTGGCTGCAGCAACATCAGCAAAGCTCTGATCAGCTCTGGTCCACAAAGAGCCGACATTTCAATTTCTCGCAATACCCCAGAGCGACACTATATTGGGTGCCCTGTGGATTGTAAAAATGGCAGCTCCCAGATTTACAATCTGACACCCTCAGACATCTCCAAGATTAAGATGGCATAGTCTGAACCAGATTTCAGATCTCAGCTTGTAAACAGACACCGCCGGCATTTTCTTGTGTTGAACGTCATGGGAAACCGTGGCTTGGCATAACCAGAACTGAAGAGCCGGATATGAACCACAGTGGGAACGGGGTGAGAGCATGTTATGTCACCCTGGTGCTCACTAGCTGATGAAGCCAGGATTCGTTACAGCACAGAAATCTCTAGATTAAATAAATAAATCTCAGGTCAATCTGGGGGAAGCCCTGAGTAATCACACATCTAGAATTTGCAAGCCCACAGGGCGGTGAGGGGTGGGATGTTAGCTGGAAGATGAAGTGCAAACGCAGCTTGCAAAGAAAGGGTTAAGCACACTTCTTATCTGCTCAGAATTGCAGCCCCCAGCAGCTGCTTTTCATTTAAAAACGAACATCATTACACCTGTTTGTGGGTAACAAACAACTTGCTCCTCAATGCCACACAGTGTGACTGTAATCAGAAGCCACAAAAATGGCTCTATGTGCCAGCTATGTGCCAAAGGCACATTTTCTCCCCCTCTTCTCTCCCTCCCACCCACCTCCATTGCATTGGTAACATTGCGAACACAGCTTTGCTAATGTTAACAGCAGTTTCCCAGAGAGGTTCCACAATGACCACAGCAAAATGCTGTCCAGCTAGGCTTTATTTTTGCAGTTTCATATTCTCGGGCATTTTGGGTTGAGTTCTCCAGTGCGAATATCCAAGGGCAAGATTTGTAAACAAGGCTGAGAAGCCTTCCTCCACCCCACCCTAACCCTGTCTCACACAGTAAAGAATTTGAAATGGTTGTCTCTTGTCCTGAACCCAAGAAAGCTCTCACCTTCTCCATCATTATCATCAGTGGCATAGCGTGGGTTGTCAGCACCCGGGGCAAGGCAAGTAATTTGCGCCCCCTAACCCATGGATTTGCACCCCCTAACCCGTGTATTTGCGCCCCCTAACCTGTGGATTTGCCCTAACCCCAGATGTTGCGCCCGGTGCGGCCGGCCCCCCCTGCACCCCCCACGCTACGCCACTGATTATCATAACAATGCGAACCACGAGAGTGACTGCCTTCAGAAATGGATCAGCAGTGATAAGCAACTGTAATCTGCTCTGCATTGCCACCAGCTCCTGTTTCTCCAGGTTATAGCCCCTTTGCCCGTATTATGTAATTAGCTTTGCTAATGTTAACAGCAGTTTCCCAGAGAGGTTCCACAATGACCACAGCAAAATGCTGTCCAGCTAGGCTTTATTTTTGCAGTTTCATATTCTCGGGCATTTTGGGTTGAGTTCTCCAGTGCGAATATCCAAGGGCAAGATTTGTAAACAAGGCTGAGAAGCCTTCCTCCACCCCACCCTAACCCTGTCTCACACAGTAAAGAATTTGAAATGGTTGTCTCTTGTCCTGAACCCAAGAAAGCTCTCACCTTCTCCATCATTATCATCAGTGGCATAGCGTGGGTTGTCAGCACCCGGGGCAAGGCAAGTAATTTGCGCCCCCTAACCCATGGATTTGCACCCCCTAACCCGTGTATTTGCGCCCCCTAACCTGTGGATTTGCCCTAACCCCAGATGTTGCGCCCGGTGCGGCCGGCCCCCCCTGCACCCCCCACGCTACGCCACTGATTATCATAACAATGCGAACCACGAGAGTGACTGCCTTCAGAAATGGATCAGCAGTGATAAGCAACTGTAATCTGCTCTGCATTGCCACCAGCTCCTGTTTCTCCAGGTTATAGCCCCTTTGCCCGTATTATGTAAAAAGCACAATGATGCACTTTGATGGAAAGATAGTCTCGCCCCTGTGTTGCATAATCCATGTAGCTTGGGAAGAGCAAACCATCACTCTCCCAGGCCTGTCATATTGTACGAATCAATGGTACTGTTAGATCACAATGAAATCACAGCAGCCGACTGCTAGGCAACATCCCTGCCAGAAAGGTCTTGAGGAGTCAGCCCCAATTTGCTGAGATTTCACCCCAACACTTTGCATCGTTCTGAGGGTGCCTCACCTAGGCAGTTACTGAAATGCCAATTTTTTAAATTATTTCTTTCCGGGGACTGAAGAAGTGGTGGAGAGATGCAGTGCAGGCAGGTCCCTGCTCTGTTGCAGAGAACTCCAAGGTACATCTTCATGCCCTTCAACATTTTGCAAATAATAATAATAATAATAATAATAATAATAATAATAATGGGAGCTCATGTGACACCCCCAGCCTCATCCCAAGGGATTCCTCCTCACCCCTCCATGGGGATGGAGATATCAGCCCATTTGAGGTTTCTCTGTTTTTCAGTGTTTCAATCATACATTTAGTCTGTCACATTTTCGCAGCAATTCGCAATTTCTTTATCATAAAATAATAATTTTTAAAATCCCTACAGAAAATCCATCAGCATTTTTGAATGAGTGTCTTCTAATAAATACTTTTGTGTGTGTGTGCCATTTTTGATTTTTGATTAATATACACTTTTTTTTGCAAGCTACGTCCCCTGATCTAATGTATTTTTGTAGGTTACTTCCACAAATATATACATTTCCAAGCCTCCCTCCTAAGATATGTGTTTTTTTGTACACATCGGTTGGAGTACTGCACTGCAAAATTCATAGGAGGGCAAATTTCGAAGGGTATTCTGCGCACCAGATCACGTACTGGTTTGAGAAGAAGTGCGATTAAGAAGCTTCTCGTTAAATCACAAACAAAATTGGGTTTCTCTTTGTTGCCTATTAAAACTCACCACCTGCCGTATTATTACAGATTGCTATGCTCCAAATACTGCTGTTTCTCCACATTCTCTGTTCCTTGATTCTACAATTGTCTTTCTCCCATTAATCCAAAAGACGAGCAGGTGTTCCTTTTTGCCGCTGCTGTTGAAGGTGCACAAGAAAAGCACGCCGGTCCTACACACTGCAGTGATGTTGACAGCTTTGAATCTATGCCACCAGCTCCATTCTGTGAGGTGCCAACCTGTCCTCTGCATGGGACCTTAGTGCTCATGCATAGTTTTGGTGCATCTGCATGCATGTGCGCTAAGGATGATGATGAATTGCATTCCATGCTGCTGAATTTCAAGAGACCTTGGAGGAGGAAAGACTGTAGCTTGGAGGCAGAGCACTGGATTTGCATGCAGAAGGTCCCAGGAGCCCAAGCCTTGGTACCTCCAGGAAGACTCCACCGTGAAACCCTAGAGAACCACTGCTGGTCAGCACAGACAATGATGTGCTAGATGGACCATTATCTGCTTCAGGTAGATAATGCTTCAGGCTTCCAGTGCTCCTGTGTGCTAAGGAAAGTGCCCTGGCTTTGTGGTGGAGCACCTGCCTTGCATGCAGAAGGGCCCAGGTTCAATCCTCAGCTGGGAATGACACTCTGACTGAAGCACTAGACAGCTGCTGCCAGCCAGTGTTCCCCAACCAGGAGCACTTGCAAGATCTCTGCATGGTTTGCAGTTGATCATCAAGGGTTCCTGATTTGCCTGGTTAGGGCCACATTTATACTGTACATTTAAAGCACTATGATGCCACTTTAAACTGTCATAAAAGGTAAAGGTAAAGGGACCCCTGACAGTTAAGTCCAGTCACGAACGACTCTGGGATTGCGGCGCTCATCTCGCTTTACTGGCCGAGGGAGCCGACATTTGTCCACAGACATTTGTCCAGGTCATATAGCCAGCATAACTAAAGTGCTTCTGTTGAAACCAGAGCAGTGCATGGAAACGCTGTTTGCCTTCCCGCCGGAGTGGTACCTATTTATCTACTTGCACTTTGACGTGCTTTCGAACTGCTAGGTTGGTAGGAGCTGGGACTGAGCAACGGGAGCTCACCCCGTTGCAGGGATTCGAACCACCGACCTCAGGGTGCTGAGAGTTGTTAGAAGACCCACCCCTCCCCATTATTCTGTCCTAGAGCCACAATTCCCAGAATACCCTGTGAAGAGGAATTGGCTCTGGGAACTGTAGCTCTGGGAGGAGAACAGTATCAATAGGCACCCATGAATCAGATGATCAGATATGAGTCAAAAGATGCTATGAGCTATGGAAAAACACAGTTTGGAGAAAAGCCTCGAGGAAGGCACTATGGAAAACCCATAGCCCAGTGTCAAAGCAGGTCCCAGGTTCAATCCCTGCCATAGTAGGGCTGGGAGAGATTCCATGTCTGACACCCTGCAGAGCTGCTTCCAGTCAGTGCAGACCATATTGGACTAGATGGACCAATGGTCTGATTCCTATTTAATTCAGTTCTCTTTTTTAAAAACCATAAGGACTAGAATCTTAATTTATTTTTAGGAGAAAGGCAGTAGCTCAGTGGTAGAGAACCTGCCTTGCATGCAGCTGGTCTCAGGTTCAATTCCCAATGGCATCCCCAGATGAAGCAGTGAATATTACCTGCCTGAAACCCTGGAGAGCTGCTGCCGGTCAGTGTCGACAATAATGAGCTAGATGGAGCAATGGCCCCACTCAACATAAGGGAACTTCTTCTTTTCCTTTGTGCAGGCATCCTCCAATGCTCCACCCTGCCTCCACTCCTTTAATAGTTGAGTACAAAGGGCATTTGAGCAATCATTGGCATGGCGAGCTACACCTGCTGAAATCCCCCTTTCCTTTACGCAACTCTGAAAGGCGCAGGAGACCCATCTTCTTTTCTACATGCTCCCTCCATCGCAAACTAGGTGATCAGTGAAGGTGTTGTGCTCCTGCGACACACAGAGAGAGGTCGTCTTGGAGATGCCACTGCCCACCCATTTATGACTGCTGCATCAGAGGAAAGCCAGCGCAGATACCACCACGCCATGTCCAAGGTTTGCCGTCTGTTCCACTGCATGTGTGAGGCAGTAATATCAGGCTCTGCAGTTGGGAGCCATCTCAGTGTAGAGCAGAATCAACAGCAGAGTGTGCCAATTTTGACCCTTCCTTGAGGATGTCCCCAAATGCACCCCTTCACTCTCTCCTGTATGGGGACGCGGGTGGCACTGTGGGTTAAACCACTGAGCCTAGGGCTTGCCAATCAGAAGGTTGGCGGTTCGAATCCCCGCAACAGGGTGAGCTCCCATTGTTCAGTCCCAGCTCCTGCCAAACTAGCAGTTCGAAAGCACGTCAAAGTGCAAGTAGATACATAGGTACCACTCCAGTGGGAAGGTAAATGGCTTTTGCGTGCACTGCTCTGGTTCACCAGAAGTGGCTTAGTCATGCTGGCCACATGACCCAAAAGCTGTACGCCGGCTCCCTTGGCCAATAAAGCGAGATGAGCGCCGCAACCCCAGTGTCGTCCGTGACTGGACCTAATGGTCAGGGGTCCCTTTACCTTTACTCTCTCCCATAGGGTGAGAGGTTCTCTTCCACCATCTAGAGTAAATTGTTGCATCTGAGGTCCCTGCTTGCAGGGAGAGCCTTGTGGTAGGGACAGGCTGTGGGTTCAGGGGAAGAGGATCTTTTCTGCATGCAGAAAGTCCCAGGTTAATCCTAGGAATCTCCAAGCAGGGCTGGGAAAGGAAGCCTTCCCCCATCTCAAACCCTGGAGAGCCACAACTAGTCAGGGTATACAATAGTGAGCTAGGCAGACCAATGGTCTGGCTCAGAATAGGACACCCTCCTATGGCAGGGGGCCTGCCTTTCATGCTGAAGGTCCCAGATTCAAACCCTGGCATCTCTGGGTAGGGCTTGGAATGTCCCATCTGAAACCCCGGAGAGCTGCTGCAAGCCAGTGTAGACAATACCGAGCTAGATGAAGTAATGGTTTGGATCAGTATGATTTAGCTTCCTTTAGTACAGCACATTCCTTCCATGCAAAAAGGTTCAATCCCTGAAATTTCAGGGTATCGGTTTCTGCCTGAAACCTCAAAGAGCTGCTGCCAGTAAGTGTAGACAATATTGGACTACATAGCCCAGTGGTCTGACTCAGTATAAGGCAGCTTCCTCTCTCTCTCTCTCTCTCTCTCTCTCTCTCTCTAGCAATTATAGGCACATGCAGAGGAAAGCCATGGTGGTAAAGTGGACCTTCAGATCAGGTTTCTGCACAGTGATATTATCCAGCACAGCAGTGATGTCCCAGCAGGCAGCTCTTGTCTGCCAAGGGGGCTTGCCTAGGAAATGGTCCCCTCCTCTCTCTGGCTGCTAGTTTGGCACAACTGGTGGGAAATAACTGGGGAATGGCAAGTATCTTTCCATGCATTGCCCAGCAGTGAGTAAAGGCAAACCATTGTTTCCGGATGACCCAGCCTACCTTGGTTTTATGCGGGCAATAAACACATCGGCTTGGATAGGAGCACCTTTTTAGATGTGTGTGTGTGTGTGTTGTGTTTTAATTCTGTGTTTTATGTTGTGAAACACCCTGTGAACTTTGGATGAAGGGTGATATATAAATTTAATAATAATAGTAATAATAATAATAGTAATAATAATAATAATAATAGTTCTAGGAAGGAAAAAGCCACCCCTGCCCTTTCTAAACGGAGCTTCTAAGGACGCTGGAAGCACCAGAAAATCCAGCCCAGCATTCACTAGGGGAGGCAAGAGGAACAGAAGAACATAAGATGGGCTTGCTAGATCACACCAATGACTCATCTAGTCCAGCGTCCTGATCTCATGGTGGCCAACCAGATGCTCCAATGGGAAGCTTACAAGCAGGACCGAAGCACAAGAGCATTCTCCCTGCCTGCAGTTTCCAGCAACTGGTATTCAGGAGCATGGTGGCCTCCCATGGTGGAGGCAGAACATAGGCATCATGGCTAGTAGCTATCCATAGCATTCTCCTGTATGAATAGCTGGTGGTTGAGCATGATTTGAAGAAGGCTGCTGGTTCAGTCTCCCTAGCTAAAAGGGTCAATGGCCTGAGACCCCAGGGAGCAACTGCCCCTGAGAGTAAACAGCAGGGGTTAAGTGAACAGGCAAGCTAAAAGAGGTTCAGAAACCGTCCTCAGTATAGTCTCCGAAAACAGCTTTAGAGGAAGGACTAAGAGAACCACTGCCAGTCAGTGCAGACAATACTGTACTGAGCTAAACGGACCAATGATCTATCTTATCCTTAAGGTTAGCTCCTTAGGATGAGAGGCATCCTAGGGGAAGGGCGGTAGCTCAGGGTAGAGCAGCTGCTTTGCATTCAGAAGGTCCCAAGAGGGCTGGAAAGGACTCTTCTCTGAAACCCCAGAGAGCTGCTTCCAGCCAGTGTAGGGAATACTGAGCTAGATGGACCCAATGGTTTGACCTGACATCCTTTGCATGCAAAGCCGGTGCTCTGCCACAGAGCTACTGCCCTCCACTATACTGAGTCAGGTCATCGGTCCACCTAGCTCAGTATTTCCAACACGGACCGGCAGCTGCTCTCCTGGGTTTCAGATGGGCAACATTCTCAGTCCTGCACGGAGAGGCCGGGGATGGAACCCGGGACCTTCTGCACTCAAAGCATTTGATCTACAGCCCCTCCCACAGAGATAAGTCTAGCAGGGCCAGCTCCTTAAGGACCTTGATACTTTTCGGATAGGGACTTGTTGATCCGTGCTCAGTCACACACAGCAACAGCCGCCCCCTGCCCCCTCGGCACACACTCAAGGGCTCTGACCACTCGCCCCCTTTTCCACGCTTTCCCTACCCCACTGCCAATCTCCATTAAGCCTCTCCTAAAAAAGAAAAATAATAATAACAAACCCGCTCGCCCTGCCACTCTCTGATGACTTTGGCAAATCGATAGATTGACTGAGGCAAGGAAGGGAAGGCGGCGGAGATTGGGGGGGGGGCGGGCTGGTTGCGATTGAGTGTGTGTGTGTGTGGGGGGGGTGCTTGAGAGGCTTCTCCTCCGCTTCGCCTTCAACCCAAACAGATTGGATTCTTCAAGAGAGGCGAGCGGAATTTCAATCGGGGGAAGCGCAGTGAACGGTCGGGAGCTCTTGGAGTGGGGGGGGGCGAGCTGTGGAAAGGAAGTGATGGGGGGGTTTTGAGAGATTCCCTCTTCACAGCCTCAGCTCACGGGTGCAGCAGGCACAGACCCCCCACCCCATACATACATACATACATACGGTACATTCTTCTGCATTGGGGCCACCGCCGTCAGGCTTGGTGATGCCCAAGGCAGAACGGATGGTGGTGGAGCACCCCACCTGCATTAGGGCATCCACAGCCCCAGGTGCATCTAGGAGGGGAAGGAGGGTTGCTGGCGTGCGTGCTTCCCAAGTTACAACTCCAGGATGAAGCCAGGAGTGGGTCCCTTGCTGGCGAGAAAGACGCATGGAGGAGTCCGTCTCCTTCGTGGGCGCCCGGAGCAAACCCTCCATATGCACACCTCCGCTACCTGTTCCACCACCACGCACGGACTGCAGAAAACCTCCCTTCCCACAGAGAGAGAGCGAGATGGTGGGTGCAAAAGCGAGGGAGAGGAAGAGAAAGGGGGCGCGGACGGAAGTTTTCTCCCCACCTGCGACACCCCCCATCGGATACCTGCCGGCCTCACAGCCACCTGGAGCTGGTTCTTCCACTACCCCACTTCCTCCACCTTTCCCTCAACAAACCAGATCCTTTTCTTACGGGGTTGGGGAGCTTCCTTGTCCTGAGGCTGCTGGTGTTTCCGCCTCACTTCCCGGACCTGATCCGGACTTGGCCAGGCTTGCACCCCCTTCCTGACCCCTCTCTTTCCTCGCCCTCCTGCCCTTTGTCCTCCCAAGTGGCATCTACAGTATACGCGCAAGCACACACAATCTCTGACAAGCGAGCACACAATAGCTTCGCCAGCCATCTCCATCTGGCTGATGCGTATTTCGGGGTTTACCCCCAGTTCCTTGACTGCTGGAATCCCTAGGACCAAAAAAACAAACAAACCCCAAACGGGTCCCATCCTGCCCTCTCCTCTCTACCTGCAACACAGACCCAAGTCAACACCGAAAGATACCCCGGGTCTGAGATGCCACCATCTCTACCTTGGTTGTTTTTCACCGCTGCGGACCATCTCTCTCATCCCAAGAGAGAGAGAAGAAAGCAACCACCACCACCCGGTTTGGTTTTGGTTTTTAACGCTTGTTCCCAAAACAGACTCACCTTCCAGTTCATCTTCAGGTATGTCAACAGGATGCTGCTCCGTTGCAAGGATATTGGGGATGGTATAAATGCCCCGGTACATTAACGCCGCGGTGACTGGGTGGAAAGGCATGGTGGCAGCCGCTCTCAGAAAGCCAAACTTTAATCCCAAATGTCATAGGAAGCGACCTGGCCGGACACACAGCAGCGCAGGAAAGGGAGGCAGGGCTCGCACCTGCCACGGAGCTACCTGTGGTCTTCCCGGAGCCAAAGAGAGAAGCCCCCTCCTTGTCCCCAACCACAGCAGAAACAGCAACTCTTTTAATAATTTTTTTTAAAAGTGGTTGTTATGTTAGTCACAACAGATCCCTGGCGCGGCAGATCCCGACGACTCCGGCTGAAATCGGAGCCTCGCCACCCCGGCCTCGAAGAGATTTAGGGCCACGGTGGAAAGGGCTCTCTCTCTCTCTCCAAAAACCGCCTCCGATGCTGCTTCTGCACAGGTGAACAGCACAGCGAGACTTTCTCCTGTTGTCCGCATCCAAATAACCAGGTGGCAAAATTCCGGGGGCGAAAGGATTCCTCTCCCTCCCACCCCCCTCGCCACCCGCCGCAGCCAATTCCTAAACCCCCAGCTTCGAAACCGGGGAGGAAGAGGAAGAATCAGTTCCTCTCCATTCACCAGCAACTCTCTTGTCCCTTTGCTGCTGGCTCTGAGCGTGTCACAACGCAAGGCTGCAATCCTTCCTCGCTGGAGCCTGAAAAAAAATACTCAGCTGCAGAAGACCTCGTGGAGCTAGATGCTGCACAGCATGGCTCTAGGCCAGCTCCCTGAGGTTGCACATGGGGAGGGGGTGGGAGAAGAGGAGGGGGGGGAGGGTGCCAGCCCAGTGGCAAGTTTTCTCTCGGTAGGAGTTCAGTGGCAGACTCTTTCTATTTTATTTTTTTAATTTAATCTCCCTTTCTCTTGCAGTCTTTGCCTCTCCAATCGGTGTAGCTGTGTGGCTTCTTCCCGCTTTTGCTTGCTCCCTCGGTCTCCCCCTCTCACGCGCACACACACACCCAGCACACGTACAGTGCACACATGACTCCCCCCCACTACCAACCAAATGAACATCTGAGTGGCGGAACATCTAAATCAATAGGAGGAAAAGATCGGCAACATGCAGGAGAGAGAGAGCGGGCGGTGGGGGCAGGGGAGAAACATTCACCTCCTTGCTCAGATTCCACCCACCCCTCATCTCACACAGGCCACACTTGAGCACTGCACATTTGGCTGCCCTTGGGGAGCACACCGCACCCACATCCAGAAGGCAGAAAGCTTCCCCCTGCCCAGTAACAACACAGGGTGCTGGCTTATACACCGAGCTCAGTACTGTCGACACTGACTGGCAGTGACACAGTTCTCTCTCCCAGCCCTACTGGGATATCGGACCTCGGACCCTGTGCACACAAGGCAGATGCTCTGGCTGCTCAGCTACTGCCTCTCACAACCTGTGTGGGTTTTGTGTGTTCCTCCCAGCCCTGGAACACACAGGCTGTTGGCTTAAGAACACCTGGAGCCTGGCCAAGCAGTAGGTATAAATGAAAAGAACCCTTCGTTCCTTCTGGGTGCTGTTTTGGGCCTCTCAAACCATCCTTTATGTGGGTGGGAAAGGAAGACAATAGACACACAGGGCAGTGGAGAACCAGTTTATTGAGCACTCCTGATTTGTTTGCGGGAGGTTAGACGACGTCGGCTGTTTATTGAGCATTTGTTCTGGTTTGCTTGCGGGGAGGTCAGGCAATGTTACATCAAGCAAATGTGGTTTCCAGTGCATTTCCCAGTCACTTTCCTTACTGCAAAAAGTGTGGTCTTTTAAGGAGGCAGGTTTGTTGCACAAGAGCTCCAAATCATCTTTGATTGGGAAACTGGTACATGACTGTACGGTAGATCCCACCTGAAAATTTTAAAATGGCAACAGCCAGGAGGTGCCGGTGCATCCCTACACACACACACACACACACACACACACACACACACACACACACTTGCCTCATAGTGAGTCAGGCCTGGGGTCCATCTAGCTCTCTATTGTGTACACTAAATGGCAGCAGTTCTCCAGGGTTTCTAACAGGAGGCCCCAATGGAGATGATGGGGCCTGGATCTAGGGCCTTCTCCTTGCAAGGCAGCCACACACCTTGTATGCAGACAGCCACACTCAGTTTGGTCTTGCTGTTCTCTTTCGTATCTTTTGTAGTACATGTTCAAAGGCCTCCCACTTTGCTGGCC